CTTGCATCTGGCACAAACACTGTAGCCAGACCGTGGCCCTTTAAGGGCTCCGGGGCCAGGAGGGGGGCAAAAGAGTTTCCCTGGTTTGGCCAGAGTGGCCACCAGGGAAAGCTGGGGAGGGCTAGCTTCCCACTAGTTCAAATTAAGTGGCTACACAGCCCTTAATTCGAACTAGGCGTTAGTCCTCGTAGAATGAGGTTTACCTAGTTCGAATGAAGCGCTCCGTTACTTCGAATTAAGTTCGAACTAGCGGTGTGCCTGTGTAGTGCCTATCAATGTTAATTCGAACTAACGTCTGTTAGTTTGAATTAACTTTGTAGTGTAGACATACCCAGAGCGACATGGCAGCGAGTGGGCCCATTCTTCCGCCCCGCTCCCGGGGGCTGCAGAGAGGGAAGGGGCCAGGCAGGAATGAGGACTGAGCAGCGCCTGCAGGAGCAGCAGCAGCAGGGATGTCAGCAGCTGAGGAAGGAGAAACGGGCCAGGTCACATGGCAGGCAGCTGGGGGCAGCGTGGGGTTTTAGTTTTGCTTTCAGGAGCCAGCTATGTCGGATAAAGCGGAATGTTGGATTAGCGAAGGTCGGATAATCCGGTCTCTACTGTATCTCTCTCCATTAGGTAAACTGACAATTTATTCCTAACCTTTGTTTTCTGCCTTTCAACCAGATACTGATCCATAAGAAGTCATTCCCTCCTGCTCCATGACTGATTATTTTACTTAAGAGCCTTTGGAGAGGGACCTTGTAAAGGCCTTTCTTACATTCCAAGTACACTATATCAAATGAATCACCCTTGTCCACATGCTTGTTGACCAGCTTAAAAGTATTAATACATTGGTGAAACATGATTTCCCTTTACAAAAGTCATCCCATACACTGTGTTTATCCATGTGTCAGAAAAAGAAGTTACTCACCCTGTGCAGTAACGATGATTCTTCGAGATGTGTGTCCCATGGGTGCTCCACTATAGGTGTCGGGCTTGTCCCGGCGCCGCAGATCGGAGAATTTTCGCAGCCATAGTCCGCCGGACCGCGCATGCGCGAAGCGCGGCTCGTGCTCTTTCGCGCCGTTTGTGTTCGCGCGGTCCGGCTCCCGCCAGTTCCTCCTGATCCTCTTGGTCTGAAAGACAAAATCATAATTCCGAAGAGGGGAGGAGGGTGGGTCGTGGAGCACCCATGGGACACGCATCTCGAAGAATCATCGTTACTGCACAGGGTGAGTAACTTCTTTTTCTTCTTCGAGCAGTGTCCCGTGGGTGCTCCACTATAGGTGAATGTGCAGCAGTAGCCCCTACAAGGAGGGGGGTTCGGAGCTATCATGCTGCGGCAGTGGACAGCACCGCTCTTGCCACTGCTCCTTCTGGAAGGTGAAGGTTGGGGATGGCATAGTGTTTGGCAAAGGTGAAGTTTGACGACCATGTAACAGCCCTACAAATGTCTTTTAGATGTACTCCCTTGAGGAATGCAGTTGATGCAGCGACTGCACGCGTGGAATGCGCTGTCGGATTCTGTAACAGTGGTCTGCTACGTAGGGTATAGCATTCCTTTATGCAGTTCACTATGATTGACGAAATGCGCTGTGCTGACAACGGTTGACCCTTAGAACGATCAGCTGTAGACAGAAATAGATTGTTTGTCTTCCTGATGGACCTAGTTCTATCAATATAGAAAGCCAGGGCACGTCTGGCATCCAAAGTGTGTAGCCGAGCTTGTTCTGCCGAGATGTGGGGCTTTGGGTAGAAAGTGGGAAGCACTATCGGCTCATTGATGTGAAATTTCGAATTCACTTTCGGAAGGAAAGTGGGTTGGGGATGTAAAATGACTCCTTGATCAGTAAACAGAGTATATGGGGGCAAAGCCGATAAGGCAGCCAGCTCACCCACCCGTCTTGCGGAGGTTATAGCTGTGAGAAAGATAACTTTCATTGTGAGAGTGCGGAAGTCACATGTGGCCAAGGGCTCAAAGGGTTTTTGAGTTAACGTGTTAAGAACGAGCTCTAGGTCCCATGGCTGCGCCGGTTGTGTTCGGTGTGGGAAGAGATTATCTAGGCCTTTCATGAAACGTCGCATCGTCGGGTGACAGAAAACTGAGTAACACTCCACCATGTCGTGTAACGCAGTGATTGCGGCGACGTGCACTCTAATAGAGGCGCAGCTGAGAGAAGAGCTCTTGAGGTGCACGAGGTAGTCCAGGATTCGGTGGATGGGCGCGGAGTAGGGATCCAGGGATGCCGATGCACACCATGCGGAAAACCGTGTCCATTTGTGAAGGTAGGTGGATCTCGTGGATAATTTTCTGCTATGTAAAAGAATGTGCTTGACCTCTTGTGAGCAGATCATTTCTGTCTGTTGGAACCAACTAGGAACCATGCCGTTAGTGCCAGAAGATCGATCTGGGGATGGAACAGGGACTGCCTGTTCTGGACGAGGAGGTCACGCCTCTTGGGCAGAGGGAATGGACGACGCGCTGACATATGATGGAGGTAAGGAAACCACGTTTGCCTTGGCCAAAAGGGAGCTATCAGGATTACAGTGGCTTTGTCCATCAGTATCTTTTCTAATACTCTGGGGATTAGAGGTGTGGGAGGGAACGCATAGAGCAGTTGATGACTCCAATTGTATAGGAAGGCATCTCCCTTGGAGTTCCGACCTATTCCTGCCCTTGAACAGTATTGGGGGCATTTGGCATTCATGCGGGTCGCAAATAGGTCCACTGTTGGAAATCCCCAGTAATGGAATATGGTTGAGAGAACTTCCGGGGAAAGCTCCCATTCGTGCTTCAGGGAAAAATACCTGCTTAGTGCATCGGCTATAGAGTTCTGCTGACCGGGTAAGTATTCTGCAATCAGGGAGATTTTGTGGTGGATGCACCAATTCCATAAGGCAATTGCCTCGGCACAGAGTGACCGGGATCGGGCCCCGCCCTGCCTGTTTATATAGTTATATAGTTACTCGGTGCTGGCGAATGGCGCAGTGCCCGAGCATCTGACAGTGCCGGGGGGCGGCGCGGTGCCAGCGACACGTTCGGTGCCGGAGATTCCTTCGGTGCCGAGGTGTGGGTCGGTGCCGCAGCTGTTGGCGTTGCGGTGGGTGCTCTCAGTGCCGCATGTGCCGTCGGTGCCAGGAACGGTTTCGGTGCCGCCGATGACTTAGGCGGCTGAATAGTCACGGGCTGCGGCGCCGAGGTGCTGCGGCTGGGCTTCGCCTTAGAGCCATGCATGCCCGAATTCCCAGGTTTGTCCCCCATGCTAACACGCGTCGGGGGGAGGGAACGAGAAGGCGATGGTCTTTTCTTCGCCTTCTTTGGGGACGGCTCCACTGAAGGAGCAGGAAGGGATCCGGGATTCGCTCCCTCTTGTGGCTGTAATGCCCTATCGAAGAGGAGCATTTTGAGCCTCATGTCCCTGTCCTTCCTCGCTCTCACGGTAAGTTTGGAGCAGTGAGGGCACTTCTGGGGTATGTGCCCCTCACCTAAACAGCGGATGCAGAGAGCGTGACCGTCGGAGGCAGGCATTGCCTTGCGGCATGAGTCGCACTTCTTAAACCCCGGAGATCCCGGCATGGTCACCTCTGTCTTCCTCTGACAGGAGTAAAGAGAAACTATCTACAGTATGAACTATTACAGGTAACTTCTGAAAAATAATATATATATATATATATATATATATATTTTGTAAAACTAACGACTATGACTAATACTAATGTGACTAAAAACTGGAAAGAACTAACTATCTAAGTAAATGCTAAAGGTTCCTTCTCTCTCAGCCTGACAGGGTCTGAGGAGAAAACAGTATTCCATCTGCGGCCGAGGACGGTCAGGAGGAACTGGCGGGAGCCGGACCACGCGAACACAAACGGCGTGAAAGAGCACGACCCGCACTTCGCGCATGCGCGGTCTGGCGGACTACGGCTGCGAAAATTCTCCGATCTGCGGTGCCGGGACAAGCCCGACACCTATAGTGGAGCACCCACGGGACACTGCTCCAAGAAGAACATTCTGTTCTTTACTAGAGTTTCAATCACTCTGCCTGGTAGTGAAGTTTGGCTTTCTGGCCTGTAATGGTGGGATTGCCTCTGGAGCCTTTTTTAAAAAATAAGCATTACATTTGCTACCCTCTAGTCATGTGGTACAGAGGCTTATTTAAGCAATAGGTTACATACCACAGTTAGCAGTTTTGCCATTTTATATTTGAGTTCCTTCAGAAATCTTGGGTGAATGCCATTTTGTCTTTGTGATTTCATACTGTTTAATTTGTCAATGTGAACCCAAACCCCCTCCTCTAACCACCTCAATCCCAGTGTTGGAAAAACATTAGTAGATGTTACTGTCATGATATTTGTAACATACTATCCAGTTAAGATCAATCTAGATTTAACAATACACAGTAAAGTCCGTGAATCAGATAAATGCTACTTTTCTGTTAACATGTGATTGGCTTGAGCTTAGGCAAACAACAAATATGAGTCTGAAGTAACAAATGGTAGATGATTTGTATGTCCTTGAAACAGTTACGATTAAGCATGCATTAAAAATATATCTAGGCATGAGTGAAGGCATACATTGCTAACAGAAGGCTTGTTTTATGGATCACAATCCTAACCTGACATCTTTCCACTAGTATGAAGTTATAAAAACAAAAGAGAGTGTCCCTTTGCATCCCTCATCGGTATTGTCACTATTGTCTCAAATGCAAAGTCCTGGAAACAGTAATACTCACGGTGACTCAGGGCAACTGTAATAATAAATTGCAGTCCTAATGAAGGTCAGGCTGACAACAACAAATACAAAATCCTTCTCTATACCTACTTTAAAACTTCCTGTTTTCAGAAGTAAAAAGCAGTGCTGTTCTGTGTCCAGTATAATCTGTATAGAGACACAATCCCTGTCAGAAACACAGCATCCATGAAATATTTTATTTTCTGTAATCTACACCTACATATCCTTGTACACACTTCCTTTGCAATGCTCAGTGCCAGGGAAGGGTGGCCACGCTATGGCATCTGAACCTCTGCATTGCTGCTGGTGGGATGCTGCCCAGCAGCCACTGCTCTCCAACTGCCCAGGTCTGAAGGCAGTGCTGTGGCTAGCAGCACTGCACAAGTAAGGGCGGCAGTACCACAAACAACCTCTATAATAATCTTGCAACCCTTCCCAACTCTGTTTTGGATCAAGATCCCTACAACTGTGAAATTTCAGATTTAACTAACTGAAATAATTAATTTGACGATTTTAAAATTCCCATGATTAACCAAAAGGGACCATGAATCTGCTAGGGCCAGAGGGTATGTCTACACTACCCCACTAGTGCGAACTAGCGGGGTAATGTATGCATACCGAACGTGCAAATGAAGCCCGGGATTTGAATTTCCCGGGCTTTATTTGCATAAGCCGGCCGGCGCCATTTTTAAATGCCGGCTTGTTCGAACCAGAATTCAGCACTACCAACTACGTACCACGAGGCGTACAGATAGTTCGGAATAGCTTGCTAGTCCGAACTATCTAGCCCGTGCCGCGTGTAGCCGCGCGGCACGGGGTTCGAACAAGCCGGCATTTAAAAATGGCGCCGGCCGGCTTATGCAAATAAAGCCCGGGAAATTCAAATCCCGGGCTTCATTTGCACGTTCGGTATGCATACATTACCCCGCTAGTTCGCACTAGTGGGGTAGTGTAGACATACCCTTAGTTACACAGCAGAGCTCTTAAGCACTTGAATAGAGGTAGATTTAAGCCCATGTTGATCATTTAGGTGAATTGGGACATCTATGAAAGGAAGTCCTGTCCTGCACCAATAAAATTCTCCTAAAACTTCACACTCAAGGGTTTGGAAGGGTGCAGGCAGGATCAACAGAAGTGACTTTTAAAAAATATGGCATTTGATCTATAAAAGCAACATTTGTGTTATATTTATTTGGGTCTTTTCTGTTGACTAGAGGTCTGATTTTGGAGTAACAACTGCAATTTGTAACCGTTCAAAAGCAGCTGAAAAATTTTAATCATGCACAGGACTCCATGATAGCAAACATGCTCCTCCCCCTTCAAAATGTCAAATACTGCCAAAAATGCTTTAAAACTAATGAGGTATAATGCCTTTAGGACTTCATATTGTGGCACACTTCACCCAGCTTTCCAGTCTGCCAATGAAAATTATTAGAAGGAATTTTTTAATTAAGATGAGGTGACAAATGTATTAATGTACCTCCTTGCTTTTATATGCACTACACATTTGCCGTTTAAGACAAAGTCAGAAAACACCCAACTGGCAGTCAAAAAGCTCCATTTAATGTAGGTACTGGAGGCATAAAGTGAACTGTACTTATTTTAAATCCGCATATATGCTCCAGCTTCTTTCCTGCCACTGGTGTGCCAGCTTCATAATGTTGAAACAAGTGCAGCATTTCAGGCACTTTAACTTCAATTTTGTTGTTTCTAATACCCTTTCTTTCCAAGGAGAACTTCTCACACATTTCATTCCATGTGATTATTCCATGTTTATTCCATCTACCCCTGGAGAGAGACATAAGTTGGGTTTATGTACAGTATCTACAAAATGTAAGTTAAAAAATTCCATCAAGATGTCCTTCTCTTTTTAAAGTTAAAAGGGCACATTTCTGTTGATCACCACTAAAAACAATGATCTTTGTATGTCTGACTGAAGGTCTGGTCTCATTTCCCAATCATAGTAACATTACACCATCAAGCCACTCAAATACTGTTACAGTCCAGGATAACCGTACCTGTGCTTACTCTCAGTGGGCTAGCAAGGGCACCCATTCTCAGGCTTCCAGCTCTCTGGGCCAATGTTTCTCAACTAGTGGTACGAGTTCCCTCAGAGGTACTTGAGAGAAGTCTGGGGGGCACATCAACACAACTGAAATTTGGAAAAAACTGAATTTTTGTTTTAAGTTTTACAGCGTTTTATTATTTTTGTACATTTTACACCCAAAAATTTAATCACCCACCGGGCTACGATTAAGTTGTTTCAACAAATGTGTTGCAATGGTAGAAAAAAATGCTGTGTCTGAAAACGGTAGGTATTGAGGGTAATTATCTATATATTTTTAAAGGGGGTACACACACACACACACATATATATATTTTAAAAGGGGGAACTTTATTAAAAAAAAGGTTGAGAAACACTGTCCTGGGCCATCGCCTCTCTCAGGTGAAGACATGATTTCTCCCTTCTGACCGGGGTATCTGCACACTGAACAACTCCTTGCCTTCACTATATTATTCCCAACAGAGACAGAGAGAGGCAGCCCTGCTTAATTTCTTTTCAGAAGCTGTTAACAGTGTAATTGGCAGTGGTCAAAGACAACACAGTTCTTTTTATGCAAGCCTGTTTTATTCTTAAGGTAAAAGCTTAAGAGAAAAAAATTATTAAACAACCCTAACATAGGATCTGGCAGGAGTCCTTCAGCACCCCACCTAAGGGGTCTCCTTGTGGTTCCAAAGTTCATTTCAGCTTCAGTTCAGGACCAGCACAGAGTCTAAAGGAGACTCGGGCTAAGTCTTTCCAAAGATTCCCTTAAGATTGGGGCCCTCTGTAGACCAGGGATCCTGTCTGTTTGCTGGATCAGGAAGACGGCCCTGATCCTGTTTAAAACCAAGCTATTTATCAAAAAATCCTTTCATTGTCCATTGGTCTCTGGAGAATACAGTCTAAACTACAGGTTGTACATCCCTTAATCGAGATTCTCTGGTCTGGCAACATGCGTGGTCCAGCATGACCATGGATGCTCCTGGGACACACAGCCCAGGAAGAGGGAGGTCTGGTGGCAGGGCAAGAGTGCCATAAGGGGCACCAGAGACTCAGCCAGGAGCCCAAAGTGGGGGTGTGCGCACAGGGGGAAGGATGGATGGCATGGCAGGGAGTTCTGGCCCCAGAAGAACTTCCTGGCCCAAACAGCAGACAGGAAACTCCAGCCCCAGTGGCAACCATGGTGTTCTGGCTCCTCCACCTTAGCCACAGAGCTCCAGCCCCAGCCGCGGAGCCAGGCAGCTGTGGTGCTCCAGCCCCAGCTGCAGCAGGGCCAGCAAGAGCCCCGGGGGGCTGAAGCATCAGCGGGGGCAGGCTGGAATCCTAGCCTGGTGGCAGCAAGGCAAATCCCCTCCTTCAGGACCAGTCAGGTACCGAGGGTGTTGGACAGCGAGGTCCAACCTGTAGTATATGCAACCTTTTGAAGGGATATCTTCAAAGGAAAAATACATTAGCATCACCCTCCTCACAACAAAATTCCACACTCATGCATACACATTTACATATTTAATTCAATGGACCCCAAAGGTGTTAAACCTAATTCAATAAAGTTTATCTTCATTCCATAAGATTTGTCCACTATAGTGCCTGTCTCAACATAATTACTATTACCTTTCGAAACAATAGACAGACATGCACTGATACCATGCTCTTCTGAATTTCCTTGGGAAAGTGTTTTTACACGTTTTTCTATCTGAAATGCCACTACACATTTGCATTCTCATCTCAGAGATACACCAGACTAAGCTGAAAGCAAAACTGATTTTCTTCTAACTACCTTAAACTTTATATTGAAATTGTGTAAGGCGTGCCTTTCCTCTTCTTTCACCTACAGGAAGTCATTACTTAGTTTGAAAAGTCTACCCCTCTAGATGAAATGTTTAGTTACAATCACAAAAATACAACAGGCGAATACGTTGTATCTACCTCCGAAAATATGCCAGCAGTTACCCTAGACCAGGCATGTCAAACTCGAAGCCTACTGAGGGCCGCACAAACAAAAACTGGTAGCTTTCAGGGCCACCAAAGAAAATGTACTTCTATCAGAA